CCTCCAGCTTTGTTCTTTTGGCTTAGGATTGCCTTGGCAATGCGGGCTCTTCTTTGGTTCCATATGAACTTTAAAGTAGTTTTTTCCAATTCTGTTTATAGTATTCTCTGATGGTAGTTTGTATTTCTGTGGGGTCGGTGGTGATATTCCCTTTATCATTTTTTACTGCATCTATTTGATTCTTTTCTCTTTTCTCATTAGTCTTGCTAGCGGTCTATCAATTTTGTTGATCTTTTCAAAAAACCAGCTCCTGGATTCATTGATTTTTTGGAGGGTTTTTTGTGTCTTTATCTCCTTCAGTTCTGCTCTGATCTTAGTTATTTCTTGCCTTCTGCTAGCTTTTGAATATGTTTGCTCTTGCTTCTCAAGTTCTTGTAACTGTGATGTTAGGTTGTCAATTTTAGATCTTTCCAGCTTCCTCTTGTGGGCATTTAGTGCTATAAATTTCCCTCTACACACTGCTTTAAATGTGACCCAGAAATTCCGGTATGTTGTATCTTTGTTCTCATTGGTTTCAAAGAACATCTTTATTTCTGTCTTCATTTTGTTATGTACCCAGTAGTCATTCAGGAGCAGGTTGTTCCGTTTCCATGTAGTTGTGCAGTTTTGAGTGAGTTTCTTAATCCTGAGTTCTAATTTGATTGCACTGTAGCCTGAGAGACAGTTTGTTGTGATTTCTGCTCTTTTACATTTGCTGAGGAGTGCTTTACTTTCAATTATGTGGTCAATTTTAGAAGAAGTGCGATGTGGTGCTGAGAAAAATGTATATTCTGTTTATTCAGGGTGGAGAGTTCTGTAGATGTCTATTAGGTCCACTTGGTGCAGAGCTGAGTTCACGTCATGGATATTCCTTGTTAACCTCTGTCTTGTTGATCTGTCTAATATTGACAGTGGGGTGTTAAATCTCCCACTATTATTGTGTGGGAGTCTAAGTCTCTTTTTAGGTCTCTAAGGACTTGCTTTATGAATCTGGGTACTCCTGTATTGGGTACATATATATTTATGATACTTAGCTCTTCTTGTTAAATTGATCTGTTTACCATTATGTAATAGCCTTCTTTGTCTCTTTTGATCTTTGTTGGTTTAAAGTCTGTTTTATCAGAGACTGGGATGCAACCCCTGCTTTTTTTTTGTTTTCCATTTGCTTGGTAGATCTTCCTCCATCCCTTTGTTTTGAGCCTATGTGTGTCTCTGCACGTGAGATGGGTCTCCTGAATACAGCATACTGACATGTCTTGACTATCCAATTTGCCAGTGTGGGTCTTTTAATTGGGGCATTTAGCCCATTTACATTTAAGGTTAATATTGTTATGTGTGAATTTGATCCTGTCATTATGATGTTGGTTGGTCATTTTCCCCAGGAATTGATGCATTTTCTTCATAGCATCACTGGTCTTTACAATTTGGCATGTTTTTGCAGTGACTGGTACCAGTTGCTTCTTTCCATGTTCAGTGCTTCCTTCAGGAGCTCTTGTATGGCAGGCCTGGTGGTGACAAAATCTCTCAGCATTTGCTTGTCTGTAAAGGATTTTATTACTCCTTCACTTATGAAGCTTAGTTTCCCTGCATATGCAATTCTGGGTTGAAAATTTTTTTGAGAATGTTGAATATTGGCCCCCACTCTCTTCTGGCTTGTAGGGCTTCTGCCAAGAGATCCGCTGTTAGCCTGATGGGCTTTGAGACTGAGTCTCGCTATATGACCCATGCTGGAGTGCAGTGGCATGATCTCGGCTCACTGAAACCTCCACCTCCCAGGTTCAAGCTATTCTCCTGCCTCAGCCTCCGGAGTAGCCAGGACTACAGGGACACACCACCATGCCCAGCTAACTTTTGTATTTTTAGTAGAGACGGGGTTTCACCATGTTGGCCAGGATGGTCTTGATCTCCTCGGCCTCCCAAAGTGCTGGGATTACAGGCGTGAGCCACCGTGCCTGGCCAATTATGACCATTTTAAGACACTTCCATCCATTGTTTAGAATGACTGAAATTAAAAAACAAAACAAAACAAAAACGTCCCTCACAATAACAAGGGCTAGTGATGATTAGGAGAAACTGGAATTCTCATAAATTGCTAGTGAAAAGCCAAAATGTCACGTTTGCTTGGAACACATTTTGGCAACTTCTTATAAAGTTAAACATACACTTACTATACAACCTAATAATCCTACTTCTAGTTATTTACCCGAGTTAATAGAAAACTCATGTTCACACAAAACAAAAAGCTGTACATGACAGTTTATAGCAGTTTCATTAAAAATCACTATAAAATGAGACAGAACTCAGATATCTTTCACCAAGTGAATGGATAAAGAAACTATGGTACATCTATATAACAGAATACTAGAAAATAAAAATAAATGAACTGGCTGGGCATGGTGGCTCAGGCCTGTGATTCCAGCACTTTGGGGGAGCTGAAGCGGGAAGATTGCTTGAGCCCAGGAATTCGAGACCAACCTGAGCAACACAGTGAGATCCTGTCTCATAGAAAGAAAAAAAGAAAGAAAGAAAGAGAAAAAGAAAGAGAGAAATGAACTATTGCTTCACATGACAACATGGAAGAATATTTTTTTCTCTTAAAAAATTATAATTCACAGAATTATGCTACCATCACCTCTATCTAATTTTAGAACATGTCATCACCCCAAAATGAAACCCCATACTCATTAGGTCCCATTAGTAGTCACTCCATTTCTTCCTCCTCACAGTGCCTGGTAATCATGAGTTCACTTTCTCATTATAGATTTCTTTATTCTGGACATTTCATATAAATGACATGCTATCTGGCCCTTTTTTGTGACTGGCTTCTCTTACTTTGCATCATGTTTTAAAATTTTTAATCTTATTTTTTGCAGACATGAGGTCCCACTATGTTGTACAGACTGGTCTCGAACTCCCAGGCTCAAGTGATCCTCCCTCCTTGGCCTCTCAAAGTATTGGGATTACAGGCTTGAGTCACCATACCCAGCCTAGCATCATGTTTTTAAGGTTCATCTATTCTGTTGTACATACTACTTAATTTCATTTTACTACTGAATAAAATTCCTTCATATAGATATGCCACATTTTATTTCTCCAATTTATTAATTGATGGAAATTTGTTTTTTCCCCCACTTTTGGCTACTATGAACAATGCTGCTATGAATATTTGTATCAAAGCTTCTGTGTGAACACATGTTTTCAATTATCTTGGCCATATATCTAGGAGCAGAATCACTTGGTAATATGGTAGGTCTATATTTCACATCTTGAACAAACTGCCAGATTATTTTCCAAAGTGGCTGCACCACCTTACAATCCTACCAGCAACATGCGGAAGTTCTAATTTCTGCATATTCCCTACAATACTTATTCCTATATCATCTGTCTCTTTGATCATAGCCATCCTAGTGCGTGTGAAGTGCTACCTCATTGTGGCTTTGTTTTGCACTTCCCTAATAACTAATGGTGTTCAGCACCTTTTCATGTGTCTTCTTTGGGGAAGTGTGTATTCAAATCTTTTGCCCATTTTAAAGGGTTATTTGTCTTTTTATTTGTAAGAGTATATTTTGGGTACAACTACATAGAGGAATCTTAAATGCATTTTGCTGAGTGAATGAATCCAGACCCAAAAGGCTGCATGTTGTATTATTTCATTTACATAATATTCTGTAAAAGGCAAAACTATAGAGACAGAAAACAGATCAGCGGTTGTGCGGAATTGTGACAGAGGGAAAGGCTGACTACAAAGGGACAATACAAGCAAATTTTTAGGGTAATGAAATTGTTCTGTATGGTACTACTGTATTGGATACATTACCCATTTGTAAAAACCCATAGAACTGTATGCCACAAAAAGTAACCTCTACCGTATTCAAGTTTAAAAGAATATAAACCAGGATTTCGAGGAAACCCAAGATGGAATGCAGACTGTAACAAATAAATTTGTTTACAATTGTATGATATAATCACACTAAAGGCAATAAAGAAGAAAGAAGCTGACTTAAACAACTTGGGAAAGTGTTTTGACTAGATACTGTAAGCTAAAGGGGAAAATATGCAAATAACACTCTTTTCAAGCTGGAAAATTGTCTTCTCATTGTGTCTGAAGCTTTGCTTACTTTTCTTCTCCACATTTTTTTTTTAGTTCTTTATTTCATCTTAAAAAAAAAACCATAAAATTGTCCAGGCACAGTGGCTCACACCTGTAATCCCAGCACTTTGGGAGGCTGAGGCAGGTAGATCACATGAGGTCAAGATTTCGAGACCAGCCTGACCAACATAGTGAAACCCCGATTGCACTGAAAAAACACAAAAAATTAGCCCAGCGTGGTGGGTGGCAGGTGCCTATAATCCCAGCTACTTGGGAGGCTGGGGCAGGAGAATCGCTTGAACCCAGGAGGCCAAGATTGCAGTGAGCTGAGATTGTGCTACTGCACTCCAGCCCGGGCAACAAGAGTGAACAAAAAACAAACAAACAAAACAACAACAACAACAACAACAACACACCCTAAAATTGTTTAAAAAACTGAAATCATATCCTGTTTCTTAACCATTTCAAGCACTGGCTTAGCTGAGATGGTTTCAAAGATTCAGCCCTGTACACCTGCAGCCTGGCTTCCCAACTTTCTTCACATCATAGCACATCTGGAAAATGGCATAGTTGTGTGGTGCACTGATGCAAATGGACAAGGCTGACTGGACAAGTCTACCCCAGCCTCATCTGGCTCCCTAAGGGAGCATATCAGTATCTTAGCATAACTACAACCTATTCCTGCACTATTTCCCTTACCACTTGGGAAACACTCTGAACGCCCCTCCTAAGCACAGTATTTAACTGTCCTTGGCCAAATGAAGACAGGATGTAGTCTGTGCCACTACAAAAAAACGAATTTTGACTATTGTTTTTTCTGTCTGCAAAGCTGACTAACTTAATCGGGGAATAATTCCTGATACTGGTCTCATTAGCATCAATTAATAACCAACTGGCCTACAGTTTTTGAACTAATTTGTACCAACCTTACCTTTTCTTTCATTTTTTCCACCTTGTATTTGAGCTGGGGCACTACACTGTTGGGTGGCAAGCCTTTTTCCAGTTGAGTCACAAATTTAGCATATTTAGAAACTTGACTATTTAGGACTTCTGGATCCAGGCAATCAAATTTGGACTATGAAAAATTTAAAAACAAAGCAAAACAAGTTAAAACATAAAGTAAAAGTCAAGTTTGAAATACTAAAAAAACTTTTAAAAGTTAATCCAAATCTACACTGTGCTTTTGGAAATGGCTTTACTTATTAAATTGCTAATAATATTATATATCCAGCATCACCTGTTTATTCCTGAGGGTCAATATGCATAAACTCCTCGAAGGATACAAATAGCTATTTTTTTACTCTTGCTAACCAGAAATTTCTCACCTAGTAGTCTTCTATTATTTGATTATATACCTGTTTAACATAAACACTTTAAATTCATAAATTATTCATAAAATTATAGATCTATATACTTATATATAGATCTTATATATAGATCTATAATTGTTTTTCTCAGTTACGTAAACATATAAGTATACACATATATTGACATGTCAGATAGCCACACATATATACTGATGGCAGTAGAAAATTTGTAAACCTTCATTTTTCTTTATTCTAAATCCATCATTTTCCTTCTGCTCCCTAATGGGTTTTCTTGTGCATTTCCTAGGGTGAATGCATCCCATGTTGGAAGCCACTGCTCTAATCCATGGTGGAAATCAGAAAATTCTTTTTAAGCTGCTGCTTCTCAAGAATATTTTTTTACTTCTGAGATAAGCGATAAATGAGTTAAAGGAGTTATAATTGGTGTTATAGCATATATTTGTTTTTTATTTTCTATTTTCTCCACCAAAGGTAAGTTCTATGTTTGAACTTTGTTCTTCTTATTCTCCAATGGTACTCCCAGCACCTGGAACATATTTTCTATGCTACTGTTTTTTAACCAAGGCATGTGTCTTCTAATTATAGGCATTAGCACAGGTAGGATGAATAAGAAGTGTAAAACAATATTTGTCAGGTTGATAGTATTTCTAACATGTCCATACCACACTTGAAAGTATAGGTGGCCATCTATTTTGCCTCGTAGAGAGGTGACCCTTGTTAAGGATTGAATATAGGGTAGATCCTAGAAACAAAACTCTCTGATGGCTGTTGATATTTGGCTCCTTAATTTAAAAAGTTTACTATTGAGTTCTTAAAGGAAGATCCTAGATTTTATCACTCTATCCTATTACAGTGAACAAAATGGCTTCCTTTTTCAAAGGACAACAAAAGTAGAAACCTAAAGTGTGTAGATCACAAATAAAATCCTACAATCCTTAAGAACATTGAAGTGTATGATGACAACATTGTGTTTAGAAACCACAAAGTGATTAAATATCACACAGCATTGTCCATTGATGCTTCCATTATGTAGCCTTCTAATATGCAGGACCTGAGAAGCCTGGCTTACAAGAATACTTTCTTTTCTGTAGCATACAGTGACATAAGGACTTTTGTGCTTTTCGCTGGAAAGCTTATAACAATTCTCAGAAAATGATACCATTGCATATTTTACTGACATTAAGAAAAGCACCAGATTGTTAAAAGTTATAATTCGAATTATTACAATTTTAAGATTAATTCATACAAAAATAATTTAAGAACTGAAGGCTTTTTTCCCCTACCTTTAACCATTCTTGTTGGAGTTTATCCCATTCAGAGAAAGAATCCCAGAGCAATTGTTTGAGCTTCAGTTCAGCACTGACTTCTTCCAAAGCTTCAAACTTGGACACTTCTACCTTTAAAAATGTAGTACACAAAATGCGCAACTTAGTTTTCAGATATAATGAGCATATGCTATTCTCCTATTAATAATTTTTGGTATAGTGATTGCTTGGCAGAATGTGCATCCTAAATGGATTAAGAAAAGGAGCACTAGAAACAAATGAAGAAAAAAAGAAAACTCCATAAAACCCCACATATATTAGAATTTCCACTACAGTAACAAAATATAACTCCTGGTATTTCCTTAGAACTTAAATATTCTCCAAAGACATAAATATTATAAGAGTAACACAGGCATTCTTCTTTGAGTTGGATTATATATGCACATATATGTTAAGGCTTCTAGGGAAAGCCGATGAGTCTTTAGAGGCACTGATTTCTATTGGGCTTCTTTACTTAAATGGCAGAAGAAGATGATGACTGTGCGGTAGCTGGTGGGGAAGATGGTGAAGTTTAAGATAGAGAGGACAGCATGGTTTCTGACTCTTTTCTAAACACGGACTTTATATGAACCCCATGGAGAGTAAGGGTGTAAGAAAATCTGAAGAATGTGTTTTCATGAGAAGTGTTTTAAGATTGCCTTGGCTCAAACTGGGGAAACTTTCAGGGAGCTGGTTACACAGAAATTCTTGGACTTTGACATTAGGAATTTAGTCTTGTCTTCCATTAAGAGTCGCAAATGATTTCCTGCAACCTAGATTAGTTAGGCTTTCATGCCTATTCTCCAAATAATTGAGAGCCACAGAAGGAAGGCTAGATCAGAGGCAATCAGGAAGGAATCAGTCATGAAGTCATAGACAGGGAAGATGGAAGGAGGAAGATACACTTTCATTTCAGGTTCTGTGTTTTTTAAAAATTAATTTTTTAACTTTTCTTTTTATTGTAAAAACCACATTAATGAGATCTATTCTTTTAATAAATTTTTAAGTGTAAATTACAGTAATGCTAACTATAATAATGTTAACAATGTTATTTAATGTACTTTTTCTAATACTTTTTCACGTTGCACAACTGAAACTTTATACATCTAGAACAACTCCTCATTTATTCCTCATCCTAGCCTCTGGAAACCACCGTTCCACTTTCTGCATATATGAGTTTGACTACTTTAGATATCTCATATAAATAAGATCATGCAGTATTTGTCCTTTTGTAGCTGGCTTATTTCACTAAGCATAATGTCCTCCAGGTTCATCCATGCTGTGGCATAGCAGGATTTTCTTCTTTTGTGAGGCTGAGTAAAATTCTATGTTATGTAGATACCACATTTTCTTTATCCATTCATCTGCTGATGGACATTTTAAGTTGTTTCCTTATCTTGGCTATTGAGAATAATGCTGCAATGAACATGGGAGTACAAATATATCTTTAAGAGCCTGATTCAATTATTTGGGATATATGCTCATAAATGGGATCATTGGGTCATTTTTAATTTTTTTAATTTTTGAGGAACCACCGTGCTGTTTTCCATAGTGTTCGCACCATTCTACATTCTCATCTACAGTGTAAAGGATTCCAATTTCCACACATCCTTGCCAATATTTATTATTCATTTTATTTTTGTAATGGCCATTCTAACAGATGTGAGGTGATACCTTCTTGTAGTTTGATTTTAATTTCCCTGATGATTACTGATGTTGGGTGTCTTTTCACATGCCTATTGACCATTTGTATGTCTTCTTTAGAGAAATGTTCATTCAAGTCCTTTGTCCATTTTAAAAACTGTTTTTTTTTTTTTTTGGCTATTGTGTTGTAGGAGTTCCTTATATATAAGGAGTTTAGATAATAACCTCTTATCAAGTATATAATTTGCAAATTTTTTCCCTCATTCTGTATGTTGCCTTTTTACTCTGTTGATTGTTCCCTTTGCTTTGCAGAAGCTGTTTAGTTTGATGTAGTTCCACTTGTCTATTTCTGTTTTTGTTGCATTGGTTTTTGGTGTCACATCCAAGAAATCATAGCCAAGGCCAATGTCATGAAGATTTCTCCTACATTTTCCTCTAGGAATTTTATAGTTTTAGGTCTTTTAAGTCTTTAACCCATTTGTTTTGAACTGATTTTTGTGTAAGGGCTCAGCTTCATTCTTTTGCATGTGAATATCCAGTTCCTTAACACCATTTGTTGAAGAGACTATCCTTTCCCTGTTGTGAATTTTTGGCACCTTTGCCAAAGATGAGTTGACCATATTTGTTGATTTATTTTGGGGCTTTCCATTCTGTTTCATTGGTCTATATGTCTGAATGTATGCTAGTACCACACCATTTTAATTACTATAGCTTTGTAATACGTTTTTAGATTAGGAAGTGTGAGGCCTCTAGCTTTTTTCTTGTTTCTCAAAATTGCATTGGGTACTCGAGGTCCTCTGTGGTTCCCTAAAAATTTTAGAATTTGTTTTCAATATTTCTTTAAAAATGTCATTGGGAATTTGATAAAGATTGCATTGAATGTATAGGTCACTTTGGGTAGTACAGGTATTTTAACAATATTAAGTGGTCTAATCAATGAACATGGGATATCTTTCGATTTATTTGTGTATTATTTCATTTCTTTCATCAGTTTTTTAGTTTTCAGTGTGTGAGTCTTTCACCTCCTAGGTTAAGTTTGTTTCTACTTTATTATTATTATTTTTGATTCTGTTGTAAATGACATGCTATTTTTTATGCTATTTGGATTGTTATTTATGCCATTTCTTTATTTTTATGCTATTTCTTTATCTTTTGGATTGTTTGTTGTTAGTATATAGAAATGCAACTAATTCATGTAAGTTGATTTTGTATTCTGCAACTTTACTGAGTTTATTTATTAGTTTTAATTTTTTCCCCCTGGAGTTTTAGAGTTTTCTACACATAAGATACCTAGAATATGCTGGATCCTGTCACTACTTCAAGACAGGTGATATAGAAGTTTGTCCCTTGAGCAGTCCCCTGATAATGTATCACATTGGGCAGCCACTTCAAATCTTTCCCTGTCCAGGTAGAAGCTGAGATTTGGGAATTCTTGCTTGCTTACTCTGCACTGAGTCAGGGGTGGGGGGAGGGGTGTTAATGGCTAGTGAATGTAAACTGGTCGAAACTGTTGCTTTTGTTCTCAGTGGTTCCAACCTGGGGCCTTTCCTATCCATAATCAAATTCAGGCAAGAGAGAAACCAGTCTCTCAGGCAGACCCCTGAAGTGTCAGAATGCCGTATATTCCATCCAGTCTGTCTTTCCCTCCCTCACCAGGGAGAAGCTGAGAACTTCCTCCTAACTGTGTAGCACTGTGCTGGGGGCAGGAATCACAGTGAAAGGGTGTTAGAAATTATTCTACTGGCTTCAATCAGCTGATTTTATACTTGCTCAGGGTGCAAGAGACTCTCAACTTGCCTTTGTATTTCTGACAAAATAAGTTGGTTCAGGGGTTGTTGAATCAGTGTGTCCAAGGGAAAAAGGAGGGGCTGGGGCTTCATACTCTGCTGTCTTGCTGACAGGACCAATGATATTCTTTCTTACTCAAGGAGTGCTCACATGTGAGTTGTAGCTTTTTTTTTTTTTTTTTTTTTTTTTGGAAATGGAGCCTTGCTCACACTGTCACCCAGGTTGGAGTGCAGTGGTGCGATCTCGGCTCACTGCAACCTCTGCCTCCTGGGTTCAAGTGATTCTCCTGCCTCAGCCTCCCAAGTAGCTGGGATTACAGGCACCTGCCACCATGCCTAGCTAATTTTTCTTATTTTTAGTAGAGATGGGGTTTCATCATGTTGGCCAGGCTGGTCTCGAACTCCTGACCTCGTGATTTGCCAGGCTTGGCCTCCTAAAGTGCTGGGATTACAGGTGTTAGACACCATGCCCGGCCAAGTTGTAGCTTTTTATCAAGTAGTATTTCCTCCATACCTTGCTCCTTACTACATACCTTCCTGTCTTGTAGGTCAGTTAACTCAACCTGGGAACAACTTTGAACTCTAGTTCCTTCACACAGATCTGCCTCAAGTATCACCAGCCTTATTGGCTGGTATCAAGTTCATAATTTTCAGATTTCTCTACCAATCCCTGGACCCTGGAGTAGACAGCATGTCAGATCACTTTCTGATCATCCATCTGGGGCTCTGAAAAGACAGGTGCATTCCCCTGTGAGGTTCAAGCATGTTCCTCCAATATATTTGGGGAGACCAATGGCATCTTCCTTATTGCTAGGGGCTCCCTGGTTTTGTCCATAGGAATATTTTCTTTTCTATTCTCTTTTCTTGTTGTTGGTCTCTCTAAAAGCTATTGAAAGCATCTGCATCTCTTGACCCTTTCTCTTCATGTTTTTTGAGAGACTTCTTTTAGCCTTTCAAATATACCTTTTTTTATTTCTATTTTTTTATTTTTTGAGACAGGGTCTCTGTCACCCAGGCTGGAGTGCAGTGTCACGATCTTGGCTCACTGCAACCTCTGCCTCCTGGGCTCAAGTGATCCCCCCCGTTTAGCCTCCCAAGTACCTGGGACTACAGGTGTGTGACACCATGCCTGGGTAATTTTTGTATTTTTAGTAGTGATGTGGTTTCACTATGTTGGTCAGGCTGGTCTCAAACTCAAGAGCTTAAGTGATCCAACCACCTCGGCCTCCCAAAGTGCTGGGATTACAGGCATAAGCCACTGCTCCTGGTCCTCAAATCTACCCTTTTACAACCATTTGTCCCTGGCTTAGCTGGGGATGTCATTTTTATCAAATTGGCACATAAAAACCAGTGTAGATCAGGCAATATTAATGGAATCATAACATACATATGAATGTAAAGGAAGCCTGAATATTACTTAAGAAAGGATAGTGTGGTTTTAATTGACCACATTTAAAAATCCACTTACATTTTAACATAGAAAGTACAGTTCCTTGTCTGAAAGTTTTGCATAATTCACAATTATTTTAATAAGAAAGATGTTTGGTATCTCATGTGTCTTAGTCTTTAAACACTTCAAAGGCAGGGAACATATCATATTTTGTATTTGAGACTATTTGTAGCATGCTGACTAGCACATAGTTGTCCAAATATTGAATGTTTACAGTTACATTATTGAGGTCCTTGTGCATATATGCCATTTCTATACACACATTTCTAAGACAGATGGTGTAAAACTGTCATTACCTTAAAATTCTTCTGATAGGACTTACACCGAAATGCACGTTTCTGAAGATCAGCCAGAACAGATTGCAGATTATTCAATACGAGCCTTATTTTGTCTTGGTCAGCAGAGATATCTAAAATCTGTGGATCCTGTAAATTTAAGACAGTTTTTGGTTAGCCATTCCTGCTTTTTGATAAAGATCAATTAAATTAAATGAATTAATAAACATTTTAAAAAAGATTCCTTTAATTCTCTTTTCTTTTTGATTTTGAGAAATGATGTTTAAAATTGTTGCTTTCCTGAATTTTAAACCAATGCATAGACATTATAAAAAGTACGCATTTGTATAAAGTGCCATGGAGATAAAATTGTTTTAAAACATTACCTAATATATTCTTCCTCATCTGCTTTCATTTCCTACACTTCTTCAACCAGTGTGACCTCAGATAAGCAGAGGTGAATGCAACAGGGAAGAGAAGGAAGGGGATATGATATAAGGTAAATTTCCACTATACAATAAAGGAATGGAAAGGCCTTTGTATTCTAAGATGATAGAAGAGAGAAAATGAAAAACATAAATGGCAAGACATATGTTTTATGGCTGACCTGTTAGGATTGAAACCCCAGTGAATGGGAATGGAATAGTTCAGGAGCAAAGCAAAAGCATGTAACTAGGTTTGGGATAATCTGAGAAAACTGAAGGAATTTGAGAACCATTATAGCTATAGCTCAGGGAGGCTAGTTAGTCCATGTCTTAGTCAGCATGGGCATGCATTCAAATTGGCAACGTGCTCTACATTAGTAAAAGCCAAGGGATGTGTCCAGGAGGAAGGGGCTTATATTGACATTCTGGTGTCTTGTGACTTGGTATGATATACAGGGAATCCTGAAATTCTCATGTGTCTTGATTCTGGTAGTGGGAACTGTTGTGAGAACTGATGGACCAGAAGATGTCTGAGGCCAGGATGAGAAAGCTACAGATTACTTGGGACTGTAGGCTATGGAAGCAATGATGGATTGCAGCATAGGGGCTAGCATGGTGCCTAAAGAACCAGGAAAGACCCTTAGTTAACAGCAACCGGGACAACCAGGTGCAGCCCAGCCAAACTGCACTGGAAGCTGCTATGGCCCAGAAGGTAGCATGAAGAATAGACGACCTGCCTCCCCCATCTATTCGCCACGAGGGAATGCAAGCTTCCCTTTATGGGGCAATAGGTAGGACGGGATGGTGGCATAGGTGGCCCAATAGGAAGTTTAGATTTTCAATTGAATTAAAATCTATTCAAAAGAGACCCAGGTAGAATGGAACAGACATTTCAAACTGAAATAAATTATTATTAATGGTCACATTTAGGTTTTCTCCTGAATTCCCCACAACAGCAGGGATGAGGGTCTTGATAGCAAGAGAGTATCATTTATGGAAATGATGAAGTTACAGTCCTTTGCCCAAGAGAATTAACTTCAAACTTTCTACAGAAAAAGCACTAGTTAGAATGAGCCCACGCTTTCATTTTGTGTATGTGTATCATGCTATTTAAAATGCATGATTTGCATGCAGATATTAATTGCAGCACTATCCACAATAGCAAAGACATGCAATCAATCTAAATGCCAATCAATATCAGATTGGATAAAAAGAATCTGGTACATATACACCATGGAACACTATGAAGCCATAAAAAAGAACAAGACTATGTCCTTTGCAGGAATACAGATGGAACTGGAGGCCATTATTCATAGCAAATTAATGCAGGAATATAAAACCAAGTATTGCATGTTCTCACTTATAAGTGAAAGCTAAATGATGAGAACACATGGATGCAAAAAGAGGAACAACAGACACTGGGGCCTACCTGAGAGTGGAGGTTGGGAGGAGGGAGAGCATCAGAAAAAAATATCTATTGTGTACTAGGCCTGTAACCTGGGTGACAAAATAACCTATGCAGCAAATCTCTGAGACATGAGTTTATCTATATAACAAACCTACACATGTATCCCTGAACCCAAAATAAAAGTTTTTTAAAAAATAAAAAATGCACGATTATACATCAAGCATGTGCTGGCACTTTTGCTTTCTCTAATGATCTATGCATACATAAATATTCATACTTTTTAACGGTATGCTGTGTATAGAATACAGTATATGGTACAGCAATTAACAGCAGACTATTAACCATTGACAGTAGACTGCTTAAGCTTGAATCCAAATTCCTCCATTTAGTAACTGTGTGACCCTCAGCAAATTACTTAACCCTGTACTCTAATTTCTTTTTCTGTAAAATGTGAATAATAAAACCCTAAAGTGTTCTGAGATTTAAATGAGTTAAAACATGAAAACATACATAAGAATATTTCTAGGACTATTACTCATCATTGCCCAAAATGGTAAATAATCCCAATTTCCATCACCCATGAAATGAATCATTGTAAAATACAATAAAATACTACATAGCAACAAACATGAATAAACTACATCCACAAATAGCAATATGGATAAATCTTAGAAACATACCAAAATAAAATAAAGGGCACACTGTGTGGTTCTAATTAATAGAAGTTCAAAAATAGGAAATTTATAGCATTCCTGCTCCAGATGGCCTGCCACTGCCAACACGCCTGCTGCAGGAGGGAGGCATGGCTAGGGCTGCACACTCCATGGAGCCAGTGGGAGTTAGGGACAAGTGGGAGCCTTGTCCCTTCCAAACTGGGGTGGGAGTTGCTCGGGTGCAGCTGTAGCCACTCAAACTGTTGCTGTAGACTCAGGCAGTCCTGTGCTCTTGGGGGCATGGGAAGGCCCCTCTGCCCTCGCAGGCTTGGAAGTGCCTGCTTCCGCTGCCTGGTCTCTCCCTGCTCTGATCTTGGAAGGGAGAGAGGCCAGGCAGTGAGAGAAGGCACTTCTTCGATCTTCTCTGATCTCGGAGCAGTCAGGGCCCAGCCCCATTGCCATGAACAGCAGCAGGAGGCAGACAGATTCCTGGATGGAAGGGGGTAGGTCCCCGGTGAGGCCCCACATTGGTCTGAAGGCTGGGGGCTGGGCTGCCAGTCCCACAGACTGGAGTAGGAACTTGTGATGCTTTTTCCAGCCTGCCCATTATCCCCCATGGGCCCATCAGTGTACACTTCCTCCTCTCTGAGGTCCATAAAAGCCCTGGGCTCAGCCAGAGCTGAGCAGACAATGGGACAACCAGCAGCAGAGGGGAGCTACCCTCTCTGCTGAGAACTTCAGAGACCTGCAGAGATGTCATTGGGGCTACCAGTTGCAGAGAGTAGCAACCCACTTCAGGGCCTCCTGTCTGCTAGGAGCTGGGCATACATTGGGACAACCAGCTGCAGAGAGGAGCTATCCTGTCCAGGCCTTCTCTCTGCTCAGAGCTGCAGAGATGATGGGGCAACCTGCCTGCAGAGAGGAGCCACCCATTCCAGGGTCTCCTCTCTGCTGAGAGCTGAACACTCAATGGGATGACCTGCCTAGAGAGGAGATACCCACTGCGGATCTCCTCTGAGCTGTTCTACTGAATAAAGCTCCTCTTCATCTTGTTCACCCTCCACTTGTCTGCATACCTCATTCTTCTTAGATACAGGACAAGAACTCAGGCAAAGGTGCTACCGGCCACAGAGGTTTCCAGCCAGAAAAATGACACCCCAAAGATCCCATAACAAAAGGATTAGTAATTAGGAGGGGACACTAAGGGTATCATAATGCTTTACTGACATGAGTAGTGGATACATAGATGTGTTTATTTTCAGATAATTCATTGAGTGTACAGTAATTAGTTTTGTACACTTTTGTCTGTAAGAAAATACAAAAGTGCTTCAATACAAAAGTAAAAACAATGCCAAGTCCTTCGAACACTGGTTGACAAAAAGGAAGCACACAATGTGAGCTGTTTTTACATTTCCATGTTAATACATGTAAAGGTATACTGTAATCTTTAATGTCTGTACTATATTCTTTTGAGTCAGTGTACCCTATATCTTTTCTATTGTAAAAGTGGTACAAGGTAACTAAATATTCTTCCCTACGAATTATCAATGTATACTCTGTCTCTTCCTAAATGAGAATTTTCTAATATGCTAGCAAAGTTTATTTTCATTTTTTATTTAGCTTTTATTTTAAGTTCAGGGATATATGTGCAGGTTTGTTATACAGTTAAAATTGTGTCATGTGGGTTTGTTATATGAATTATTTCATCACCCAGGTATTACACAAACTTTAAAATTGTGACAATAGCTATAAAATGTGCTAACAAGTCATTAAAACTCTTCAAAATAAAAAATACAAGTTAGGACTAGAATTTAATTGGCTAAATTCAGTTTTAATATTACATACATGCTTTGTGATAGTCTGAAATGTACTCACTACTTAAAGCGAGATTTTGAAACATTAATTTTTAAGTAGCAGCTCAAAGACGTTGTTGATTGGTTAGAACGAAACTACAAAAAAAAACTAAAGCTACATCAGTTAAATGTGTTTTCTAAATGGTTTGAAGAGTAGTCTTAATTATTCTCACCACAAAAAATGATGTATATGAGGTGACAAACACATTAATTAGCTTAACACTTTCACAATGTATACATATATCGAAATATCACATTATATATTGTAAATATATACAATTTTTATTTGTTGACTATAATAAACAAATGTAATAGTAAAACTTTGCATAGATTATTTTTACAAAATAATGATTTAACTTACCTGCGCTTGCAGTTTTACTTCATTCACTTCGTTGTTTAATTCTTCAATATCACTACCCAAATGCACACAAAATTGCTTAATGCTTGATTCTCTATCACCCACTGATTTATCAATGGCATTCCGAACAGCAACAATGGATGGCTTCATAGTTGCAAAAACAGCAAAGTCTTCAGGAGGTGTGGGTACCTGATATTGTTCAATAAGCTTGTACATTTGAGTCACTATATTCCCTTCATCTTCAAGGCTTTCAATCTAAATGGAAACATAGTTTGCTCATTAAATGTAGCAGAGTCCTAGTTCAGTTTTGAAGTTTGTTCTAATAGGAGACAGCTACTGTACAATATGAACATTTTATTAGTCTGTTCTGCTGCTGCTAATAAAGACATATCCAAGACTGGGTAATTTACAAAAGAAAGGTTTAATGGACTCACAGTTCCACATGGCTGGGGAGGACTCACAATCATGGCTAAAGACAAGGGAGAAGCAAAGGCATGTCTTACATGGCGGCAGGCAAGATAACTTGTGCAGGGGAACTCCCATTTATAAAAACCATCAGATCTCATGAGACTTACTCACTAACATGAGAACAGTATGGGGGAAACCACCCCCATGATTCAATTATCTCCACCCGGCCCCATCTTTGACATGTAGGAATTCAGTTCAAGGTGAGATTTGGGTGGAGATACAGGCAAACCATATCAAACATCAAACTGTGAATAGTCAGCACAGAAGGAGTGTATTATAATGTAACAGTCAAATTGGCTAAAGCCTGCTAGAAGACAGTCATTGCTATAATACAGGTAATCAGGTTAGGAGGTAAATTATTCAGAGCTGGGCTCTTATAAATGTTTCCTCTTTCTTTCTGTTTTGTTCTCTTGTTGTAGTAAACAGTGCCAATATTTAAAGTTTTCTAAGAAAACATGTGCTGTGCAGTTGTTCAGCTGTAGTATCTGAGCTTCCAGGCATGTGTGATGGGCAGTGATCATCCCAGAGCAGCCAGAGGGATCGACAAGCTGTGGACTTGGCTGCATAGGTTTAGAACCCAGATCTATGGTGAGATTCCCACTATCCCTTAATAAATTATTTTACCACAGCCCAATGACTACTAAACATCTTCACTTTGATTTCTTACTTTCAGTGGACAGTATTGCTTGTCTTTCCTAATTTTCTGGCAAGGGATCCCCCAGTTTTGGGAAAGTTCCTTACCCCCAGCTCTGCCACATGGTTATACAGGGAGCAGACATTTTCATACTACTTGGCCCAATTTCCTGGCCACAAGCTGAACCAAGGACCATCAAACTGTGATCTAAAGAACTTAGCTCAGTCTGACCTTTCTCTTGAACATAGGAAGAGGTAGGACTGAGGCCATTTACTTTCATGTGGAAACAGAACAGGTCATTAACATGAGAAGATAACCGCAGACAGGTTTTTAGAGAAATAGTTCTCAATCTTTAGCTTCCATTGCAATGACCTTGGAAAGCTTGTTAAAACAGATTGCTGAGCCCCTCCCAAGAGTGTCTGATTCAAAAGGTCTAGCAAGTCATAAAAACACTGTAGTCATGGAGGGTGGGTCCCAAGAATGAACATTTCTAACCCATTCTCAGGCGAACATTTCTAACCCATTCTGCTGCTGCTGATTTGGAGTCCCCATTTGGGAACCACGGTTCTGGAGGAGCAGAGATGAGAGAAAGAGAGAGGCCTTTTTGTAAAGGCCTGGCTCTATCCACACTTTAGGATTCTGAAAGATATTCCTGCAAACTTAGAATAAGTATTTCCATTTTTCTAAGCTATTTATGTGAGTTTTTGTGACTTTCAACCAAAATTTCTAACACCTCAAACAAATTATGTATAGAACTAAGTCTCTCTACATCAAGATCTGTTCATCTTCCTCTATTTCCTCTATTTTGGGTGAGTATATATCCAGGTTTCTCTGGGAATGTCCTGGGTTTACACTTAGTCCTAGTACAATGATTAATAGTGTCTCTTTCACTCTCAGAAAAATGTACTGATCAGACAATGAATTATGTAGCCTACCCTCCCTATATTGGTATGAAATTGCTAAATACCCATTCCCTGCAGAATGATACCTATAAGTCACCTCATTTTCCTCTCACTGTCCCCTCATTCAGTTGCCCATCAAGTCCTTTCAATTCTACTTAACATCTTTGTAATTAATTTCTTGTCTCCTATCTTTGAAAATACTGCTTTAGCTACATAGAGTTCATCAACTTTCAACCAAACATTCTTTCTCCATAGCATATCAATTGCTAAATCCTGTTTTTGTCACGTTGCCTCCTGTCTTTGCACATAGCTTTCCCTCTCGCTGGAATGCCTACCTGAATGTTTCATGTATTTTATGACAGCTTAAATATGCCATCCTCCACACAGCCTTCTGTAACCCATAGGCAAGAATTACTACAAACTTCCCAGTGCTACAACAGTATCTTATCCTATGCCCATTGTATCAAAATCATCTGCTTGCATTCAAGACTCAACTTCTTTAAAGCAGGTTTATTCATTGTAATTTTTGCACCCTGCTAAGTGGTGTTCACTAAACTTGCTGACTGAATGAATGAAGATCCAGAAAAAGTTTCTGTGTGTGCAGAAAATCTCCCTAAAGGAAGTTGCTTTCCAAACACACCATCCAGCAAACACAGACAACTTCCTGGAGATAGGACACAGTCTATGTTTTCTGCATACTACATCAACTTGCTGTTCTGGAACCACAAGGTGATAGCAGCTGACCCTCTGCAGCCATTGATTATGATGTGACCCTACCTTCCTGACATAGTTTATAGAACAGCATGGGAGCTCTGAATCAATTTACTAGACCTTTAGAATCAATATTGAAAAAGAGAGATTATCTCTTTCTTGCCGACTGGCTAGACTTGCAAGCTATAGTTTGGGAGCTGCTGGTGGCCATGTTTACTGCTGTGGTAAGAAGCGGCAGAAGTAGCTATCTGCAGAGGGAGAGAAGTGAAGCAGACCCTCAGAGAGATGCAGAGAGCAGAGATGGAAGAAAGGACTACCGGGGCTTCCTGTGACTGTCTTATTCCAGGTTCTGGTCAGTTCCTGAGCCTACTTACATTCTTGATTGGGAGTTCCATGAAGCACCCCTGAATCCTTAAGTGGGATCCCTATTTTGGCCTAAGCTTTCTCAAGTGGGTTTGGGTTATTTGTTTGAAGTGACTTAATGAATACAAACAATAATAAGTAATTCACATCTTTAGACTCCTGGGACAATTTATAAGCAAACCTGAGGAGAACCACGATCAACTGCCTTTTTGAGAAGGCATGATTTCTTGAAATGAGAAACACTGTTACTTTTGTAGTCATGTGAAATAGCATTTTTATTAATTTGGTTAATAATTTATATAACATTCATTCAGTTTACTTTTTTAATTGAAACATTTCTTCAATTTTCAGATATTTAATAAAATAATTTATCTATATTTTAAATGCCAACCTAATATGAATGAAAGTTTATGAAAAAAACCATTGGAGCCAAATGCTAGATTGCTTCCTACAGGGAAGAGGCTGAGAGGAGGAAACTAAGTTTCCAGAGAAAAAGAAGCAAAAGAGACAAAGGAGAGAGTGAGAGAGAGAGTGTGTGTATAAGAGAGAAAAACAGAGACCTGATTCCATCTGCATCACTTGAGTCCCCATATCCACTTTTTTCTCCCCACCTCCACCTCCCCACTTAAGCAGGTTTGTGTTGGGTTTCATTTTTAACAGTAAGTTTCATTCTTAACAGTAAGTTTCCTATTAAGCAGTCAGACTTCCATTATGATTAATATCTAGATTATAATGGTATTACCATTTACTAAAAATTGGAATTCCAATAAACTATGGTTGAGAACATTGGCTTTGCAGTCAAAGAGACTCAAATCTAAATTCTAACTCTTTCACATCCATACATGTCTGTGATCATGGATAACACATCCTGTTTTGGTTCCTGTTTCCTTATCTGCAGAATGAGGATAAACATCAACACTTCTTAGAGCTTTTGTGAGAATTAAAAACGTAATGCATGTAGAAAATGTAATATGATGCCTGACTGTAAGAGTCTGATAACTGTTAGCTGGCTTTATTCCTGTGATGTAGAACATCCACTTACTTTGAAAGTGTTTCTGATATTTTGACAGCTGTCTTTTGCCCTTTAGTCCTTCACTTTTTCTTGTACTATGTCTTCCTTCCTACTACAAGATCTGGAATATTGAGTTACATGAGATAATCAACTCACCCGTTCCTGAATTTCATCAAGAAATAATAAGCTATGAACATATTCTGTGGTAGTAGTTGGAACAAACTCAAGTTTATACTCTGCATCTTGTGCCTCAAAGATAATGGCATCCACTTTTTTCTTGCTTTGACGAGGAAGCATAAAATTTAGCACCTAAGAAAGAAAATAACATGTGAATTGCAAATAATTGAATATTTTCATTTTATTATATATTTTAGACAAATCCTAATGGGACATCTGTTAAATCAGCGGGTATTGGAAGCAGCAGTGCATACAAAGAGACTTTTTTTCTCATTAAATCACTGCTAGTTAAATGTGAAAACAGGAAGGCCAGGTTTTGAAGATCATTTCTACAGCTTACCAAAAATTTTCCATAAATGCTCTAATATCTTGCAAGTATGCTTTCTGCTTCTTCATCCTATGTAGTGGACATTGTGCTGCCCTGTTCAGCATCAGTCCCACTCTTTTCATGTTGGGTGCTAGCCATGCAGTTTGGGGGAAACTGATCTCTCCTTCAGAAACAAATATGGAGTCTGACTGATCACTTGGCAAATAGGAGCATGGCTTTTTTGGCCAAAGTGATCAGATTAAGGTTGTATCAATCTATTTTCACACTACTATAAAGAACTGCCAGAGACTGGGTAATTTATAAAGGAAACAGGTTTAATTGACTCACAGTTCAGCATGGCTGGGGAGGCCTCAGGAAACTTATACTCATGGCAGAAGGTGAAGGGGAAGCAAGGCACCTTCTTCACAAGGTGGCAGGAAGGAGAAGTATGTGACAGTGCAGGAAAAACCATGATTTATAAAACCATCAGATCTTGTGAGAATTCACTTACTGTCAGGAGAACAGCATGGGGGAAACCACCCCCATAATCCAGTCACTTTCTGTCAGGTTCCTCCCTTAACACCTGGGGATTACCATTCAAGATGGGATTTGGGTGGGGATGCAAAGCTAAACCATATCATGTGTGAACCTCTGACTTTAGTTGATTCAATCAGATAAAGGCCCACACTTTTATTTATGGCTGAGAGAGATGTATACTCAGAACCCCAATCTTTCTCTTTCTCTCTCCATACAAACAAATAATTGGCTTGTGAAGCTTTTGACGATCATTTCACAAATGCCTTAGGATGAAGCCTGCACATAGGAGGTTCAGGAAAAAGAATGAAAGAATTGGTTCCTTGGTAACAACACTGAGCTACTAGATCATACCTCCTTGATATTGACCCAATCTCTGGACTTTTTAGATGCATATGCCAATAACTCTTCTGATTGCTTAAGCCAGTTTGAGCTCAGTATTCTTGGGCTTACAGTAAATTTTTACCCAAATATTTCTTGAGCATACAGTAGCTAAAAAATGCTTGTTGAAATTGAATTAAATTTGCTCGTTATATAATAATTATATACACATAAATAAGTATATATATGTATATATATTTCTTTTTTTTTTTTTTTTTTTTTACCAGATGAAGAAGTAAAACTCTAGAAGGAAGCCCAATACTATACAGTTAATTAATAACAGAACATATTAACACTCAGGTCTGCACTCTTTTATACAGTGCTCTATCTTCTATCATCTATCGGGGCCAGAAAATGTTTTCTATAAGGGCCAGATAGTAAAAATTTTAGATTTGCAGTCAATACAGTCTCTGTCACAACGACTAAACTTTGTCCTTCTAGGAAGAAAGCAGCCATAGATGATATGTAAATCATTGTCACGGCTGTGTTCCGATAAAACCATATACAAAACAAGAGGCAGGCTGGGTTGCCTTTGTGGGCTATAGTTTTCCAATCCCTGTTTTATATCATTGTCTCTCTGTGGGCATTGGGAAGATACAAGTATACTCTGGCTCCAAAGGAAGTTATTGTATTGGTTCTGAAACTTATTACAGAAATTTCCCTAGTTCTATAACTTACCAAAACATAATCAGACCTGCAGGGACAATTCCAGATCAGAAAATGATTTCCTAAACTTGATCTCGGTGGTCTAAAATCAACCATCACTGCCTCTGGGATATTAAGCTGTTATAGTAGTATCCTCTCTGCAGGTCTTGAAATGCTCCGACAATAGAAAATGGAGGAGGAGCAAGAGGCCAGTGTGAATCCTGCAGTCCCCTCTATTATCTCATCTAAAAAGCTGATTCTGCTTGTGACAAAAAGACTATAGAGCTTTTCTTAGAAATTAAGGATGTCCAGAGGGCGGAGCAAGATGGCCAAATAGGAACAGCTCCAGTCTCCAACTCCCAGTGCGAGCGACACAGAAGACCGGTGATTTCTGCATTTTCAACTGAGGTACTGGGTTCATCTCACTGGGGAGTGCCAGACGATCGGTGCTGGTCAGCTGCTGCAGCCCGACCAGCGAGAGCTGAAGCAGGGCGAGGCATTGCCTCACCTGGAAAGCGCAAGGGGGAAGGGAATCCCTTTTCCTAGCCAGGGGAACTGAGACACACAACACCTGGAAAATCGGGTAACTCCCACCCCAATACTGCGCTTTAAGCAAACAGGCACACCAGGAGATCATATCCCACACCTGGCCGGGAGGGTCCCACACCCACGGAGCCTCCTTCATTGCTAGCACAGCGTCTGTGATCTACCGGCAAGGCAGCAGCGAGGCGGGGGGAGGGGCGCCCGCCATTGCTGAGGCTTAAGTAGGTAAACAAAGCTGCTGGGAAGCTCGAACTGGGTGGAGCTCACAGCAGCTCAAGGAAACCTGCCTGTCTCTGTAGACTCCACCTCTGGGGACAGGGCACAGTAAACAATAAAAACAGAAAGCTCTGCAGACGCAAACGACTCTGTCTGACAGCTTTGAAGAGAGCAGTGGATCTCCCAACACGGAGGTTGAGATCTGAGAAGGGACAGACTCCCTGCTCAAGTGGGTCCCTGACCCCTGAGTAGCCTAACTGGGAGACATCCCCCACTAGGGGCAGTCTGACACCCCACACCTCACAGGGTGGAGTACACCCCTGAGAGGAAGCTTCCAAAGCAAGAATCAGACAGGTACTTTCGCTGTTCAGAAATATTCTATCTTCTGCAGCCTCTGCTGCTGATACCCAGGCAAACAGGGTCTGGAGTGGACCTCATATTCTATCTTCTGCAGCCTCAAGCTGGGATACCCAGGCAAACAGGGTCTGGAGTGGTCCTGCATGGAAACTGTGGCTTAACTTACAGGTTTATGGTCTGCATTTAGAAGGAACATATCAAACAATAAATACAAATTGGCACAAAAAACCTTATCACAAAGTGGAGTAATGTTATCGTTTAGAATTAGGAGTGTGAAAGGAAACAAAGCAGACAAAAGGGAAGGGAAAAGCTGGAAATTCAAAATAAGAGCAAAAGATTCCCCAAAGTGAGATTTACTCATCACGCAAACGATCAAAGCTGGACGGAATTGACTTTGACGAGATGAGAGAAGTTAAGTGTGGTTGCTTCAGTCCATCAAATTACAGAGCTAAAGAGGAATTACGACGAAAAGTAAAAAGAAACTAAAAAATCTTGAAAAAGTGGAAGAATTGAATGGCTATAGAGTAATTAATGCAGAGAAGCTCATAAACAAATGAAAGAGACGAAAACCATGACAACACGATATACGTGATAAATGCACAAGCTTCAGTAACCGACTAATCAACAACTGTAAAGAAAGAATGTCAGCGATTGAGGATCAAATAATGAATGAAACAGCGAAAGAGAAACCAAAAGAAAAAGAAGAAAAAGAAATGAACAAAGACTGCAAGTAGCGTATGCGATTATGTAAAAGATCAAATCTACGCCTGATTGGGGGTGGCCTGAAAGGGTGAGGGGAAATGGAACCAAGTTGGAAAACACCTTCAGGATATCATCCAGGAGAACTTCCCCAACCTAGTAGGGCAGGCCAACATCTGGGATCCAGAAAATAAGGGCAGAACGCCACAAAGATAGGGCTCCCTCGAGAAGAGCAACTCCAAGACACATAATTGCTAGATTCACCAAAGTTAAATGAAGGAAAGAAAAATCTAAGGGGCAGCCAGAGGGAAAGGGCTTCAGTTACCCACAGGAAGCCTTCCATCAGACTAACAGCAGATCTTCTCTTCGCAGAAACTCTACAAGCCAGAAGAGAGTGGGGGCCAATATTCAATACTCTTAAAGAAAGAATTTAAACCCAGAATTTTATCCAGCCAAACTAAGCTTTCCATGAGTGAAAGGAGAAATAAAACTTTACAGAGCAAGCAAATGCTTAGAGATTTTGTCATCACACTATAGGGCCTGCCTTACAAGAGACCCTGAAGGAAGCACCTAAACATGGAAGGAACAACTCGGGTACCAGCTAATAAAAACATGCCAAAATGTAAAGACTATCAAGGCTAGAAGAAACTGCATCAACTAATGAGCAAATAACCAAGTTAATATCATAATGGCAGACTGGGTTCATACAACAATCTTAACCTTAAATGTAAATGGACTAAATGCTCAATTAAAAGACACAGACTGGTGCAAAACTGGATAAAGAGTCACGATACCCATCAGTCTGCTGTATTCTAGAGACCATCTCGGCCACGCAGAGACATACATAGGCTCAAAATGAAGGGATGGAGGAAGATTTCTAATACAAATGGAGAACAAAAAAGCGGGGGTTGCAATACTAGTCTCTGATAAAACAGACTTTAAACCAATGATCAAAAAAGAGACAAAGAAGGCCATTGCAATAATAAAGGGATCAATTCAACAGGAAGAGCTAACTATCCTTAAATATATATGCAATCAATACAGAGCACCCAGATTCATAAAGCAAGTCCTTAGAGACTACAAAGAGACTTAGACTCCCACATAACAATCATGGGAGACTTCAACACTCCGCATCTCCTGTCAACATTAGACAGATCAACGAGACAGAAAAGTTAACAAGGATAGTCCAGAATTCAACTCATCTCTGGTGCAAGCAGAAATCGAATAGACATTCTCATAGATCCTCCACCTGGAATCAACAGAATATACACTCTTCTCAGCACCACATCGTACTTACTCCAAAATTGACCAACGAATTAAAGTAAAGCACTCCCTGTGCAAAAATGTATGTGAACAGAATTATAACAAACTGTCTCTGTGACCACAGAATCAAACTAGAACTCAGGACTAAGAAACTCCAATCAAACCGCTCAACTACATAGAAACTGAACAACCTGCTCCTGAATGACTACTGGGTACATAACGAAATGAAGGCAGAAATAAAGATGTTCTTTGAACCAATGAGAACAAAGATACAACATACCAGAATTCCTGACAAGGATGAAAGTGTGTGTAGGGAAATTTATAGCATTAAATGCCCACAAGAGAAAGCAGGAAAGATCTAAAATTGACACCTAACATCGCAATTAAAAAAAGAACTAGAGAAGCGCAAGAGCAAACACATTTGAAAGCTAGCAGAAGGTAAAATAATTCAAGATCAGAGCAGAACTGAAATAGCAGGAGATAGAGACACAAAAACCCTCCAAAAAATCAATGATCCAGAGTTGGTTTTTTTTGAAAAGATCAACAAAATTGACAGACCACTAGCAAGACTAATAAAGAAGAAAGAGAGAAGAATCAAATCGACGCAATTAAAATGATAAAGGAGGTCACCCACCGACCCCACAGAAATACAAACTACCATCAGAGAATACTATAAACACCTCTACGCAAATAAACTGGAAAATCTAGAAGAATGGATACTCCCCTGGACACACTTACACTCTTCCAAGACTAAACCAGTGTGTTGTTGAACCCTGAACAGACCAATAGCAGGCTCTGAAATTGAGGCAACAATTAATAGCCTACCAACCAAAGAAGTCCAGACCAGATGATGTGATTCACAGCTGAATTCCTAAATGAGGCATGGCAAGGAGGAGTTGGTAATCATTCTGAAACTATTCCAATCAATAGAAAAAGAGGGAATCCTCCCTAACTCATTTTATGAGGCCAACATCATCCTGATACCAAAGCCTGGCAGAGAGAGATAACAAAAAAAGAGAATTTTAGACCAATATCCCTGATGAACATCGATGCAAAAATCCTCAATAAAATACTGGCAAACCGATTCAGCAACACACCGTGCTTATCCACCATGATCAAGTGGGTCATCCCTGGGATGCGTCATTCAACATTCGCAAATCAATAAACATAATCCAGCATATAAACAGAACCAAAGACAAGAACCACATCAATATCTCAATAGATGCAGAAAAGGCTTTTGACAAAATCCAACAGCCCTTCATGCTAAAAAAAAACGCCCAATAAATTCTGGTATTGATGCATGAATCACCAAAATCATAAGAGTTTATTTATGACAAACCCAAATAAATATCATACTGAATGGGCAAAAACTGGAAAATTCTTCTTTGAAAACTGGGCACACAGATAGATGCCCTCTCACCACCTATCTGGCACATAGTGTTGGAAGTTCTGGCTAGGGCAATCAGGCAAGAGAAAAGAAATCATGGGATTCAGTTAGGGAAAGAAGAAGTCAAACTGTCCCTGTTTGCAGATGACATGATTGTATATTTAGAAAACCCCATTGTCTCAGCCCAAAATCTTCTTAAGTTGATAAGCAACTTCAGCAAAGTCTCAGGATACAAAATTAATGTGCAAAAAAATCACAAGCATTCTTATACACCAGTAATAGACAAACAGAGAGCCAAATCAGGAATGAACTTCCATTCACAATTGCTTCAAAGAGAATAAAATACCTAGGAATCCAACTTATAAGGGATAAAAAGGACCTCTCTTCAAGGAGAACTACAAACCATTGCCTGTAGTGAAATAAAAGAGGACACAAACAAATGGAAGAACATACCATGCTCATGGATAGGAAGAATCAATATCGTGGAAATGGCCATACTGCCCAAGGTAATTTATAGATTCAATGCCATCCCCATCAAGCTACCAATGAGCTTCTTCACAGAATTGGAAAAACTGCTTTAAAGTTCATGTATGGAACCAAAAAGAGCCCATCTCCAAGACAATCCTAAGTCAAAAGAACAAAGCTGGAGTGCATCACGCTACCTGACTTCAAACCATACTGCCAAGGCTACAGAACTCAAAACAGCATGGTACTGGTACCAAAACAGATAGACCAATGGAACAAACAGAGTCCTCAGAAATAATACCACACATCTACAGCCATCTGATCTTTGACAAACCTGAGAGAAATAAGAAATGGGGAAGGATTCCCTATTTAATAAATGGTGCTGGGAAAATTATTAGCCATAAGTAGAAAGCTGGAAACTGGATCCTTTCCTTACCCTTATACGATGTAATTAATCAAGATGGATTGTAGACTCTAAATGTTAGACCTAATACCATAAAAATCCTAGAGGAAAACCTAGGTAGTACCATTCAGGACATAGGCATGGGCAAAGACTTCATGTCTAAAACACTAAAAGCAACGGCAGCAAAAGCCAAAATTGACAAATGGGATCTCATTAACTAAAGAGCTTCTGCACAGCAAAAGAAACTACCAACAGAGTGAACAGGTAACCTGCATAGAATGTTAAGAGAAAATTTCTTGCAAATCTACTCATCTGACAAAGGGCTAATATCCAGAACTCCAAAGGAAAGAACCCAACAATGATAAGAAAAAAACAAACAACCCCATCAAAAAGTGGGTAAAGGATATGAACAGACATTTCTCAAAAGAAGACATTCATACAGCCAACAGACACATGAAAATGCTCATCATCACTGGCCATCAGAGAAATGCAAAATCAAAAACCATACAATGAGATACCATCTCACACCAGTTAGAAATGGCTGATCATTCAAGTTTTTCTCAGGAAACAACACAGGTGCTGGAGAGGATGTGGAGAAATAGGAACACTTTTACACTGCTAGGGATTGTAAACTAGTTCATAACTATTGTGTGGAAAACAGTAATATGATTTCGGGCGATCCCAGAACTAGATGTACTGCAAGACCCAGCCATCCCCATTACTGGGTATATACCTGGGGCAGATTTGTAAATTATGCTGCTATAAAGACACATGCACACGTATGTTTATTGCAGCACTATTCACAATAGCAGACTTGGAATCAACCCAAATGTCCATCAGTGACAGATTGGATTAAGAAAATATGGCACATATACACCATGGAATACTATGCAGCCATAAAAAGGATGAGTTTGTGCCCTTTGTAGGGACATGGATGCAGCTGGAAACCATCATTCTTAGCAAACTATCACAAGAACAGAAAACCAAACACCGCATGTTCTCACTCATAGGTGGGAACTGAACAATGAGATCACTTGGACTCGGGAAGGGGAACATCACACACCGGGGCCTATCATGGGGAGGGGGGAGGGGGGAGGGATTGCATTGGGAGTTATGCCTGATGTAAATGACGAGTTGATGGGTGCAGCACACCAACATGGCACAAGTATACATATGTAACAAACCTGCACGCTGTGCACATGTACCCTACAACTTAAAGTATAATAATAATAAATAAATTTAAAAAAAAAAGAAATTAAGGATGTCCAATAGTATTATGTTAATTTATATATTTGCAATACTATAAAATAAATAATAATAGGTTTTTGTGCAGTCGAAAAATCATAAAATAATTGTAGAGGAATAATTAATTTTTTTCCTAGTTTATAGTTACCTCTAAGCATCGCAAAGGTGATGGAATTAATTTTTCTCTTAGCAGCCTAGTGTCAATGAGCAGCAATCCTACATTTCTGGTGGGTCTGAGAGCTACTGCGTCCTTGTGCTGTTTGTGGTATTTTTCCAGTTGTTGACTAAAAAAGTTAACATCTACATAAAAAAATTCACATAAATCATAAAATATACCATATGGGATTTTAAAAGATCATTACAAAATGTACTAAAAATCATTGCATTGATACATTTACACATATATGTATAATGTTATTATCTGTAGTTAGAGTATCTCATGTAACTTTAAAACACTAATTTGGATTGCTTTATAGGATTTTATTCTTGTGATAAAGAAACTAATATTTTATAATGTAAATATGTCTTCTGGCTCCTATGAAGAGATGACAGATGAAAATAATTTGCAAGTGCATTAGAGAATCTAGTCTGGAATTGACTAGATTTCAGAGCTAGGTTGGTTTCAAGTTGAGCTTAATCTAAATGTTCTCTCCCATGTGGTATCTCAAAGTAAAGCATTTTGAGAACATAAACAACAAATTTTGAAACATAAGAGATCACACATAGCTAAAATTATCTCTGTTCCTCTTTCCAACACATCTCTCTGCCATTCCTGCACCCTACATCATGGTCAAGGCCTTTATCAATTTGCATATGCTGTAGTTGCATTTTGATAATCTTCTTGCCTCTATTTTCTCCCTCATCCAATCCATCTGGAACCAATGGAAACCTGATTATCCTTGAATACACTCTCATCATACTATCAGACAAAAATAGCTCTCTCTCTAATGCATATACAATTCCAAACTTCTCTGCTTTCTTTCAAAATTCCGTACCTTCTGGGCCTCTAAAAATTTAGCTAATTTTATTTCTAATTACCTCCTATATTTGGGTCAAATTGATTTCCTTACTGTCTGCCCTTTTTCCTCTTTCCATAACCTTCCTCCACCACCCCAAAGAGAAAAGGGTACTGTTTCCTGCCTTTACTCATGCTATCTCTTCTCCTAATTATAAGGGGTAGTTTGATATAGTATAAAGAACACTCCAGAGAAAGTATTAGAAGACCTGAGCTCAGGTCTTTAACCCATGTGTGGCCTTGGGAAAGTCACTTAGTCTTTCTGGGCTTCAGCTACCTCATAATATAAAACAGAAACAGCAATTATCTCCCTTACTCACTTCAGAAGGTTTTGATTTGTGTATTTTTGAAAGTCGACTAAATTAATGTTACATGTTCTGATAAGTCCCATGGTAAGGATACCTGTATAATGCTGCATTGTTTAGTATTTTCCAAATTTATTTGAGCACCATCTTTTTTCATGGTATCATGTAATTATCCCTCAGAACAGTGCCAATGAACACAACTTTCAGAACCATTGATTTGGTCCAAAACTCTTATTTTATAGATAGAGAAATTGATATCAATTGAGGTCGTATGACTGGGCTATGGCCACATAGCCAAAAAGGAATAAAAGATTAAAGCCAGTAGTTGGGAAATACGATTTCTTTTTTCTTTCTTTTTTTTTTTTTTTATTGAGATGGAGTCTTGCACTGTCCCCCAGGCTGGAGTGCAGTGGCCGCGAGATCTTGGCTCACTGCAAGCTCAGCCTCCTGGGTTCACGCCATTCTCCTGTCTCAGCCCCCCGAGTAGCTGGGACTACAGGCGCCCACCATCATGCCTGGCTAATTTTTTTGTACTTTTAGTAGAGACGCGTTTTCACTATGTTAGCCAGGATGGTCTTGATACCCTGACCTCGTGATCCACTCACCTCGGCCTCCCAGAGTGCTGGGATTACAGGTGTGAGCCACCGCGGAGAGGCAATACGTAAAACGGTTAAGCAGACAAGCTTTCAAGTCAGAGAAATTAGATCTGAACTGCTCACTAGCTGTTTAATCTTGAAGTTGCCTTATTTCTATTGATCTGTTTTTTTTTTAAATAAAATGGTAATACTAATACTCTCCTCAGAATTGAGAGGATTGGATGAAATGTCTAAATATTACTTAGAACAGTATCTACCATGCTGTAAGTGCTCAGTTAAGTGTAGACATTATTAGTAAATGCTGACATTTATAGGAATTTGGTGGTGAAATGTGGCTGCTTGTCAGGAAGCCAGAACCCATCTGCTGGTCGTTCTCTGAGGTGGGACAGGGAGCAGCCTGGTTAAAAGTTCAGTTAGACATTTATTAAGGATCTACAATATGTGCTAAGCAATGTTGTAGTCGTTTGAGGATATAAAATAACAGGTAAGGATGATATCCAAGGGCAAAGCCCATCTCTATAAGCCTCTGGCAAACAATTGGGTTTAGTGGGGGATTTAGGATGTATTGGGGGATTCCAAACAGAGGAGGAGCACAGAGGTTAGGAGTCCAGGCCAAGGTACTCCAAAGTCGCAGCCATCAGAGTGTTGGGACTGGGAGACTTGGTTCCAGGATTGGGTTTCAAAGGCAGGACCAGCAAGACAAGGTAGGACTCGCTGAAGAGCAACCTGGGAGCCAGGGGACTGTACCCTGATGGGAACTTGCTGAAGGATCACAGTTATTCAATGTGAGGACTGTGGTAGCAGGAGGCTAGGAAGCCTTGGGCTCAGGATATGAGTAGAAGAGCTCAGGGATTAGAACTGGCTATTTTGATCAGGCCTCCTTCTTGTGCCAAAATTCCAGGCTCCATAGCCTGCTGCCACTGTGATGCCAGCACAGGAGGCATCATGTCCTCACGTCCCTGTCAGTGTGCTTCTGTTCAGCACACACTAAGTCTCCGTGTGATCGTGTTGCCGAAGAACAGTGGAAGTAGGCTTGTCTAAATTTTGCTTTCTAAATTGGGGCCCCATGTTGGTTTAACAACTTAGTATCTTGAAAAAAAGGAGTCAGTTTCAGATTTTTAAAATTTAAGGGACATAACAATCAGATACAATGCCTGATCTTGGACTTGATTCCTGGCCAAATCAGCTGGAAGCTGCTTTACTTGGGGAATTTTGAATATGGAGTAAGTGAAGATATTAAGGAATTGCTATTTCGGTGGGGGGGAGGGGCGTGGGATGATACTATTTTCATTCTATAGAAACATGTTTTAGAGATGCCTATTGAATTATTTAACTTAAGAATGCAGTGTCTAATTTACTTTAAAATGCTTCAGCATAATAAAGAATAAGGAATTGAAAGAAAAACATAAAATACAAAAACAAAAAATTAGTGCTGGTTCATAGAGCAAAGTAACAAAGTAATTATATTTATATATAAGAAAATAAAGCGCCGGGCGCGGTGGCTCACGCCTGTAATCCCAGCACTTTGGGAGGCCGAGACGGGCGGATCACGAGGTCAGGAGATCGAGACCATCCTGGCTAACACGGTGAAACCCCGTCTCTACTAAAAATGCAAAAAATTAGCCGGGCGAGGTGGCGGGCGCCTGTAGTCCCGGCTACCCGGGAGGCTGAGGCAGGAGAATGGCGTGAACCCGGGAGGCGGAGCTTGCAGTGAGCCGAGATCGCGCCACTGCACTCCAGCCTGGGCGACTGAGCCAGACTCCGTCTCAAAAAAAAAAAAAAAAAAAAAGAAAAAGAAAATAAAGCTCATGAAACAAAAAATATGAAAGACATGCATGATGTTTTAAAATAGCAAACAAATATACGTATTTTTTATAATTTTCTGAGAACTTGCTTGCCTGAAATTGCACTTGGATATTACAGATCATCTTCCTTTGTTAAAGACAGTATTAGTGAAATAAAATAGTTTTCCCCAGGTCTGATTTCATGACTAAGAGTTGTTGATTCACACCCACCAGATCTTAATGTAGTCCCAGAAGAAAAAAGAATAAGTTACTGAGATAGAAAAACTTATGTAAACTTTATTTAATGGAATTGGTAGAGATATCCATTCCTTTCAACTCCTTCTCATATGCAGGTTATATATTCTTAGCACCGATACAACTTTAAACTAAATGATCAGCAATTAGGAAGGAATTGCTTTCCATAATATCCTGAAATAAAACAGTAATACTGAATAAGGAGAAAGGAAAAAAGTAATTCTATAGAAAATAACCTAGAAATGAATTAACTCTTGCCTTTTGTCAGGCCAACTCTTTTGGGCTACCATTTGTGTCCCCAAACACCACCAAACAGAATCCTAAAAGACAACAAATCTCATATCCCTAAAAAAATAATTAGTAAGTACAAATGGACAAGTTACCAGGTTCCTGAAGTTTAAGAGCTTGTAAATCAAGACTTTCATTTTCCTTGAAGAATAGCTGGAACTTTTCAAAGGTAGCTGCATAGAGGCGGGCCGATTCAAATGCTGCCTGAATGGTTTCCTAAATGTTATAAATAAGCAGACAAATATGACCATATGTTTGTTAAGCAGAATTTAATTCAATACAACTAAACAAAGAAACAAGCAAGCACACATACTCTATGCCCAATAGTATGTTTTGATTTGGGAAACATGAATGAAGGAAGACACATTCTTGACGTCAAGGAGTAATTCATGTATTCGAGAAGAAACTGTTATGAAATAAAAAAAATTCATCTTTAAACCTGACTTTTGAAGAATTATTCCTGTGACTGAAAGGAAACACACTTATAATTTGTTTCTGCTTCATGGTGAGCTTATACATTGATAGTAAACATATGGCAAAGAGGCAATTCTTGTTTATTTTCCTAACTGCATATTTTATGTCAAAGCATTTTTGAGCAAAGGCAAACCTGTTTAGCATGCCCACAAAATCACTTGCTTAATCTTACTATCAAATCCTTGGCATCAGTCAGTCTCTTATTCCAAAAGGTCCTTCATACTTTGCCGTAATAAAAACTTTTTCTTCACCTCTCTTAAACTCGGTTCTAACCCATATTTCCCCACTTGGTTTTTTAAACCAAGACAATGATTTCTAATCATTTCAGTCCCTTTAATAACTGTGTCAACATATATTATCATATGTTCAAAGTCTATGAAAGGCAGTTAGGATTCACCTGCTATTGGTCTTGGTCCATGCCTACTTGGCTGTGCTCCACACCTTTTCCTTGTGTTTTCTACCAACACTTGTAAAAGCCTGCAATTTGTCCCAGGAAAACTAGAGGTGATCAATGGAATTGCACGCATCCAACACACCAATGCTAGGGAAAGTTATGCCTTGCGGTAGTAGAAAATTTAATTACAAAGAATAGCACATGCCCTATATGTCTACATTTAGTTATTTGTTCATTTATTTTGTTTTAATAGGCTTTTATGAATATTCCAGAATGTTTCTGTTCTTTTTTTATAATAAACATTGAAAAAGAACTTTATCAAACTATGTTTCCTTTGAACTGACTAAATAGTATCTCTGATATGTCATCACGCAGGTGCTAGAAACAATATAAGACTTATAAGTGGAAAACCCCACTAATGTTCAAAATATGGTTTCAAAACATTTTTATTTTGAAATAATGTATGATTCACAAGAGTGTTACTGGAATAACACAAGGAATTTCATATTTCTGTCACCAAAATTCCCTAAATTTCAACGATTTATCATATTTACTTTATAAGTCTCTCTCTATATACCTATTATTATACTCTGAACCATTTGGGAGAAGGTTACAGACATGTGGCACATTTACTCCTAAATATTTCAGGGGTTACTTACTAAACACAAGGGCATTTTATTACATAACCACAGTATAATGGTCCAAATCAGGAAATTAACTTGAATATTAATACTGTTACCTAATTACCAACCTCATACAAATTCTACCATTTGTTCCAGTACCAAATTTCATAGTAAAAGGAAAAAACATTTTTTGTTCTGGTCTACTTTCCTACCTAGGATCATGTATTGCATCTTTTCATATCTTTTTGGTTTTCTTTTTTCTTTTTTCTTTTTTTTTTTTTTGAGACAGAGTCTCGCTCTGTCACCCAGGCTGGAATGCAGTGGTGCCATCTCGGCTCACTGCAACCTCCACCTCCCGAGTTCAAGCAATTCTCTGTCTCAGCCTCCTGAGTAGTGGGGATTACAGGCACCCACCACCACGCTATTTTTTTTTTTTTTTGTATTTTTAGTAGAGATGGGGTTTCACAATCTTGGCTAGGCTGGTCTTGAACTCTTGACCTTGTGATCTGCCCACCTCAGTCTCTCAAAGTGCTGGAATTACAGGCATAAGCCACCGTGCCCGGCTGGTTTTCTTTAATCTGGGACAATATCTCAATCTTTCTTTGCCTCCCATGACCTTCACATTTTTTAAAGGTACCTCAGCTGTGTGTATATGTGCATGTGTGTGTTTTATGTTTACTCATGATTAGACTCAGATTTAAATTTTTGGCAGTAAAAACACATAACTGATGTATGTTCTTTGCAGCATCTCACAAGGCACTTGTTGATTTGTCTCATTACTGGTAATATTAACACATTGGCTAAAGAAGTGTTTGGCAGACTTATCACTGTAAACTATTTTTCCCTTTGAAAGCAATAAGTAGCTTATAGACAGAGAATTTGAGGTTATGTAAATACTCCATTTCTCATCATACTTTTGTGTACTCGTTTTAGTACACATCAGAGATTCTTGCTGATTGCTGATGGCTTCTGCAGTGAATTTTCTAATTGTGTTTTCTATCTACATTTGTTTGCATTCAACCAAAGGAAAAACTTTCTCTTCTCACTCGTTCAATTAATTAGTTAGTTAATTCATTATTTCACAACATGGACTCATATATTCTCATTTTATTCAAGGGATTTGGTGCTGATCAAATTGTCCCAGTGTGTCCAGAATTGGTTCCTTCTGGTGGGTTCCTGGTCTTGCTGACTTCAAGAATGAAGCCACAGCCTCTTGCAGTGAGTGTTACAGCTCTTAAAGATGGTGTTTCCGGAGTTGTTTGTTCCTCCCAGCGGGTTAGTGGTTTTGCTGACTTCAGGAGCGAAGCTGCAGACGTTTGCAGTGAGTGTTACAGCTCTTAAAGGTAGTGCAGACCCAAAGAATGAGCAGCAGCAAGATTTATTGTGAAGAGGGAAAGAACAAAGCTTCCACAGCGTTGAAGGTGACCAAAGCAGGTTGTGGCTGCTGGCTTGGGCAGCCAGCTTTTATTCCCTTATTTGGCCCTGCCCACATCCTGCTGATTGGTCCATCTTACAGAGTGCTGGTTGGTCCATTTTACAGAGTGTTTATTGGTGCATTTACAATCCTTTAGCTAGACACAGAGCTCTGATTGGTGCATTTTCACAGAGTGCTGATTGGTGCATTTACAATCCTTCAGCTAGACAAAGAGTGCTGATTGGTGCATTTTTAGAGTGCTGATTGGTGCATTTACAATTCTTTAGCTAGACACAGAGTGCTGATTGGTGCATTTTTACAGAGTGCTGATTGGTGCATTTACAATCCTCTAGCTAGACAAAATTAAGTTCTTCAAGTGCCCACTCAACCCAGGAAGTCCAGCTGGCTTCACCTCTCACCAGGGAGACCCTTCGAGGGGGCTTTTTGTCTTTTCTACATGTCTCCATTGTTATTTGGGCATGTTCTTATTTTTTAGCTGAATAATATTCTCAAGGCTCATATTGTACTGTCCTGCCCCACCCCTTGAAGAAGAGAGTTCTGCAAAAAGAACAAAGAGAGTTCCTTTCAATTGGGAATGATATATAGAAACTAACATGTGGATACTAGATGTGCTCATTGGTATTGGGATGTCATTGCTTGTAGGCTATTTCAGCAGACAGGTCTAGGAAACACACATACACCCCACATACAATCACAAAACCCTACACATTTCTTTATCTTTCTACAGATCAATTAAAATCCATGAGTTCACAACTCCATTCCAATGCAACAACATAGGGTTCATTCCAGCCTTCCCTCTTCCATATTTGTAACTCCCTTTCTGAGGATGAGTAACCTCATTTCATCATTCACAATACATTTATTTGTTTTGCTCAAGTCTAAATAAAATACACAGAAAGTGGTTTCAGCATTGCTAATACACTAACACCACTGCAAAAAACAAACCTACTAACCAGAGTTCAGTATTTACTGCAGTTATGGTGGTTTTTCATCCTCAGGGTACATGGCCAAAATACTGTGCTCAAAAGTTACTTAGTTTAGTTATTTTCCCCCATCCCTTTAGTGTGGTTATGTATTTCATTTGAAATACATGTGGGTTTATTTCTTTTTGTTTGTATTTTGTTTTAGGGTTTTGCTCTCCATTTTGTTGATTTTTTTTAGAACTATATTAAAAGGTATACTCAGAAAATAGTCACTTCCCCATTTTTTTCACTTCTTACCCACCTTCCTCACTCTTCCTACACCATTCACATTACCTCCTTTAGGTAACTAATTTCCTTAGTTTCTGGTTTATCTCCCTTTCCTTCCTACTTCTGACATAAACAGTAGTATACTATAGATATTCTTTTGTACTTTGCCTTTTCCATCTAACAATATGTCCTGGAAATCACTCTATATTAATTAATAACCAACTTCTTCATCCATTTATTCAGCTGCATAGTATTCCTTTGTGTGGATATACCATAGATTATTCAATAATTTTTCTACACATGGCTATTTTGGTAGTTTCCAATATTTTGCACTCATAAACAATGCTGCAATAAGTAATCTAGTGCATATGTACTTATGTATTGTTGAAAACGTATGTTTTTAGGATACATTTTAAAGGTTGTATTGTTGGATCAAAAGGTAAATGCATGTATAGTTTTATTTTGCAAAATGTTCTTTTATTTTTTGCATTCCCACAAGCATAATGTGAGAGTGTTTATTTACCCATAGGGTAATCACCAGAAAGTGTTGGTATACTTTTTAATTTTGCTAATCTGATAGTTGAGAAATTATATCTGTTTTAATTCTCATTAATCTTATGAGTAGACTACCTTTTCATATGTTTAGATGCTATGTTTATGAACTTTTTATCATAAGTTTTGACCATTTTTCTTTTTTTAAAATTAAATTAAACAATTTAATTTTAAGTTCCAGGATACATGTGCAGGATAGGATATGCAGGTTTGTTACATAGGTAAATGTATGCCATGGTGGTTTGTTGCACCTATCAACCCATCACCTAGGTATTAAGCTCCACATGTATTTGCTATTTATCCTGTTGTTCTTCCTCTCCACACACCCTGATGGGTCCCAGTGTGTGTTATTCCCCTCCCTGTGTCCATGTGTTCTCATTGTTCAGCTTCCACTTATAAGTGAGAATACATGGTGTTTTCTGTTTATGTGATAGTTTGTTGAGGATAATGGCTTCCAGCTCCATCATGTCACTGCACAGGACATGATCTCATTCTTTTTTATGGCTGCACAGTATTCCATGGTGTATATATACCACATTTTCTTTATC